TGTATATATATATATATATATATATATATATATGTATATAAATATATATATATCAAACTCTAACCCCTATCATTAGACGATCTGACATTAGATGCCATGGCAAATCAAATTCAATGTGTCACTTGTGCGTACGCGTAAGTGAACCGCAGAGCTCCTTGTCACTTCGTATTCAACCTTTTCCGATACTCGATTGCCCACGATTTTAAGGTGTCCGAGATAAAAATAACTAAGTGACAAGTTTGCATAATCGTGTGGTATTTCATGCTTGTAGTGCATTTTCGCTTTTCGCTTCATTCTAGCGGTTATGCATTGCGAGTTCGACAGAGCATAGAGAAGTTCGCTTCACTGTATTTCATTGTACGATGATGATGAGGAGGAGGATTAACGCTTAAAAATGCTGTCACATGTAAACCGAGAGAGTGCAAGTAATTACCGGTAACGAAGGAATTATGTCCAAGCAGTTGTCATGGGTCGATGCAAAAACAAGTCCTAGTACCGACGTTTACGAGTTTTTGATCGATTTCTGTCTGTTTTTCCTCCAACGAAGAGTTCACTTAGGGAGCTAAAAAAAATGTGCGTCCTTCAAATCAAACGTGATTTTGAAACCCCGTTTATCAAGGGCTGCAGCATCTAGCCACTGCTTTTCTGACTTAAATAGTATTGTAACTGCTCAGATAAAAACACCAAAAAACGACTAAATAAACAAACAGCTCTGATGTTGTGGAACGTTATTTTGTATTCTATCCGGGGTTTGTTCACTGTTGCACTTCCAATTAGGTATATCTGCTTGGTCATTGTGTCATTGTGGACCCGATGCATGCGTGATATTGCAGTTTCTCTTGACTCCTATCTCATTTCAAAAATGAGATAAGAACCATTTTAATTAATTCCATCTTGAACCTGTGAAATCGGTGGGGAAGTATCACTTATGGTTTAGCTCATTTGGTGGCAAAAGTCGGAATTTCAGTCGTTCGACGACTTTCACGCCGGGCGGAGCACTTCACAGCGCAGTTTAACTGGCCACCAGCTTCAGCTTCTCACAACCATTCCGACACATGTCCCACCAGACCTACCGCCTGAGGCGTAAATTCACGAGGAGATCCATGCCTTAGTGTTATCACAAATCACCGGGCTCCGATGACCTACCACCAGCTCTATTTAAAGATGGTGGTTTAAAGCTTTTTAGAGAACCATAACTTCTGTTTTTTAAAGTTTGGCGCAGGTACCTTCCATATGAGGGAATCAATTGCTGTTCTCATCTTTAAAAAGAGCCTGCGCAGTGTTTCCTTCGACCACAGGGGTACAAGCCTGACCCCATTGCCGTCAAACCTGTTGTCGTCCCTTATTCTTCGTAGATTGTACAAGATGCATGAGGAGCAGGCTAGATTTCGCGCTGGACGTGGATGCGTCAATCAAATCTTCACCCTCCGACCGCAAACCCATGATGATTGTGTTCTTAAACATTCGCGTGACCTTCGAATCTATCGATAGAACTGTTCTGTGGAACTGTTTCTTGAGGAATGTAGCACCTGAGAAGTGTCTGTCGATCCTCGAAGGATTGTATCAGGTCAGTTTAGGGCCTAGGGTCAGCTTTCATCACCCTTCGCCGTCTCCAGTGGCGTTCGACAAGGCTGCCCGATATCCCCATTCCTCTTCAACTTTGCCATAGAAGATTTTCTACAGGATGATTTATCCTGTCTAGAAAACAGTGGGGTCGCACTCCTCCCTCCTCACATCACGAATAGCGAAAGCTAGAGCAGCTTTCGCCAACCTGCGACACCTGTGGCTCCGCCACGACATCCGTTACCCCTTTAAGGGAAGGGTGTACATCACCGTGGTTCATAGTGTTCTGCTTTATGTTTTCGAGACCTAGCCTCCCCGAGCATAGTATGCTAATCGACCTTCTGTATTTGACCACTGATGCCTTCGAAGCATTGCTCGTGTCTGGTGGGAAAATTGGGTGAGCAATGATGAAATTCTTCGTCATGTGCTGAGTACTAATAGTCGCCCTGTAAGAGAGGTAATCGGTGTACACCACCTCCGATGGCTCGGTGATGTTTTGCTTATGCCTTCCCATCGTTCACTTCTCCGTGCTCTCTTTGCTCGTGTTGGGCAAGGCTGGAAGAAGCGCCGCTAAGGCCAAACCGTGA